GGGGGGCGCATGGTGATAACATGGTCGTTCGTTGTAATCTTCAGTGATCTCGGTCGTTTTTCGTACGAGTCTAGTCAGACTCTATTTCCGACCAGTGATTGGCAGTAGACAATTGAATTGTTCGACTTTACCTAAGCGATTTACGGCTTGCCATCACTCAAACATTCAACAATAACTCAACTGAACGGTCAAATATAATACATTACTTGAAAGCAGTACCTGTTCATCCGAATGCGTGCGTCTGGTTGGCTGCTGCTGGTCAGTGGTTGCCTCGAACGGGCTTCAATGACGAAAATGACGACGAGGACGTGATACTCGTCGCACGGGAGTCGATCGGCTGATGGACGAGGCTAAGCCGAGGAGTTCGCCAGAAGGAGACCACTTGCCGGCACGTAACACGTCGTCGGTGAGTGGAACGAACTCACAGAATAGTATCGGGAGGACAACTCACTGTCTCTGTAGCCGGTTGCGCTGAATCTGGGGTGTGTGCGGTTTGGCGGAACATGCTCGACACCGGCCGACGACAAAAACCACCTCGTTGCTCAGTTTTCAGTTGCCGGCGACAATCGACACGGGCTGCACGGCCTGACAGGTACACACGTAGCGATTCGCATGCCTGCAACACAACAACACAGTCCTCGACGTGTCAAGTAGCCAACAGCTATGACAGGCATTCATTGGATGACGAGGTTTATTTGCTTTAAAAACGGGTGTCTGCAGCAACCGCGAGGTTCTATCTACCTCGGCTGCAGTCTGCTGAGCGATTGAACGAACTGTCGTCGAAACTTGCTCACTACTTCAGAAACGGCGCAAAACTTCTCTGGCTGGAAGTTTTAGAACTTAGCGTACATGAGGTACTTCTCGTCGGTGTGGAAAAAAACCGCCCGGAAAGAGACGACTGCGCCGAAGCGCATTGAGGAAAAATCCGATCGGTCCGAGCCTCATAGAGTCCGTAAACAAAGGCAAATTCACCTCGGAAGTGATCGTCAGAACTTCATGCCAAGATCAGAAGAACGGATCAAGGAGCCAAGCAATGAAAGAATCGTTCATAAGTGCAAACCCCCAGATCGCATGAGTTATATAGCTTTTGTCTACAACGGACTGACGCTGGTAGAAGACATACCAACAGCGGCCATAGCAAGTTACATAACGCAAGGTGCAGTACAAAGGCTAACTTGCAAATCATCCATGACAATGCTAAATTAACCGGCAGAGTCACAGTCGGAGTCTCTGACGAGGCAGAGCGATCGCTGGACTTTGCGGAACACCAAAAAACATTTGGTTGCCAGTTTATGAAAGAATTCAAGAACACCTTACAGAAAATATAATTTTGGCCAGTTTAGGACTGCTGCACACTGCAGGGCTTTGAAACCATTTCCCAAGGTAGATGAGTTTTCTGTGGGCTCGAAAAAGAACAATCAATCTTTCGCATCTCTCAATCAGTGATCAATCAATTCTTACTCTAAGCAGCCACCGTTTTAGCGCATGTGGGACAACAGTCTGCTAGACAGCGTGGAATAAACCTCAGACTGTCTTCAGAACTCGGTCAACGCATTTGACTCGTCCTTTCGTTCGTTTAGATTTACATGTGACACCGAATAATGAAACCGAGAGGAGCTGACGTTCGAAAATGTTGAAACTGCAGTGCGCTTGATATCTCACTGAAAATTCAATTCACCAGTGTTTAGAAATTCATGAGATCTGTTGCTGATAACGTGCAGAGGGACGACGTACCAGAAGCGAACCCTCCATACTCATTGCTGACAAAGTACGAACTTATAGTCAAGGAATACTAAACTAAGGTTAGAGTAATGATCAAGCAACTAACGAAAATAAATTCTAATGCAGAAGCCTGTGCCTGTTAGCTGACACGTTGAAACGTCCCTACATGTCACTGATATCGGTCAGTGACCGAAGCAAAAGATAACGAGCAGGCACCACGTTTACAATTGCCTATCAGGGAAAAAATCATTTACTGGATTCCCCAGTGGTCATCTGGCTATAAGTTCCCTTTCATCAGACCGCAGTAAGTTTAAGATGGATGTTTTGACATTAGGCTTTTCACAGTAGTCCCGACATCGATGGCGGGATTCATCCTTCAGTAATGGGATGGATGATGCAGGGACCATGTGCTGGTCAACTCTGTGTCAACATAGAGATTGCCCACGATGGCCAAGTTTCTATTTGAGGGGTACTTATTGGAATTAAGAGCAAAGTTAGCTAGTTTGGAAGGTCGCCTTCTGAAATATTCCAGGATTCTAATCGTGTTTTACCTTAACCTGATGTACATCGGTTCTACTTTTCGATGGGTTCGAAACCAAGGAATGTGTCTAGAAGAAAATGGGCCCTCAAAGCTCGCTTTTCAAGAAATTTTCATGTTGCTATATCTTGCCAAAAGTGCGACATGCAGCGAAACAGTCAAAGAGAGAAACTGCTGCTGGCGAAGAGACATTTCAAGTGCAACTCCTGAATCAAGAGGGGTATATTTTACGAAGATGTTTATGCGTCAGTTTACATCCTATCTCTGAAGGAACTGAAAATTCCAATTGGATTGGACTACCTCACTGGTGACTCTATTCCATAAATATATCGAAAGAAAGGATTTATAGACTTACAGGCGATCAGACAGACCTCAAGAAAAACTTGAAGTTAAGCGACTAAAGGAGCAAACGGGATTCAAAAGGATATTACTTCGAAGTGGCAAAGAGAAAGCGGGCTACCAGTTTCCTCTCTGTCTTGAGTCTGTCGATTTTGAGAATTGTTCTGACTCAGTCTACATCTGCCCTTTACCAAATTCTTAGATGAACTAGGAAATCGAGAAAATTACCGACTCCTAATTTACGAGAATACAGCCGCTAATGTGAAGCTTCACGAAAAGAAAGGGCATTCAGCAGGAAGAAGCAATGCCGCCAAATTTTTTCGCACAGGCTGTAGACAAGGAGGTTTTCGACGCACCCCTTCAAGAACATCAGGGTTGAGCACAAATT